CCCCCCCCCCCCCCAATGAAAAGAGAAAACTTGCGATTATCACACCCGCGTTTTCTCATAGTCTTTCTACAAATAAAAAAAGTGCTCACCTCACATCTTCGCCGACGCTCTTATCACTCTCGTCCGTGGAGTCGAAGCCCCCCTTCTCCGGGAAGCTCCTCCACTTCCCCTCAATGTCCCCCACCTCAACATGCCCATTCGTGTACCCATTCTCCCCCTTCCCCTCCCCCGGCACCGGCGTCCTCCTCGTCAAGAACTCCATCCTGGTGGGAGCGAGCAGCTCCTCATAATACTCAGCAGTTTTCGGCTCGACCCCGCCCCCAACGGACCCATACTTCCTCGGGAGCGAGCTCAAGACACTCCTGTAATCCGCGACGGGATCGCTCAGCGTCGAGCTCTTGTACATCCCCAGATCGTGATCAAAATTCAGATCAGAGCTCTGGTACTTTCTGTGAGTCGGATCAGGTGAGATCGTCGTGGGGGAGATCCGGTACCTCCTCAGGTGATCGAATTCCCCGGAATAGGACCCCAGGCCGCACCCCCCGTCCGAGTACCTGTCCCTCTCGATCGGGGACTTGCGGTACCGCACGTGATCGTCATTGTACATCGTCATTGGTCTCTCGGACCGCCGGGGGGACGCCGAGAACTTCACCCTGTCGCTGTCCTTCGTCCCGCTGAAGCTAAACTTCCTGGGTAATGTCGACGACGTTGGAAGGGGACTGACGCTGGAGAGACTAGAGGGTGAGGCTGTCAGGGAGCTCTTTCGCTTTCGCTCGTTGAACCTCGAGTAGAAGCTCTTCCTCCTGATCCTGTCGATGATCGACTCGGAGTGGTCACGACCTGGGGGACAGTACGTCGGTGACGTGGGGGAGTGGAAATCCGAGGAACAACGCTGGTTGAAGTCGTTGGAGCAGATCGACCACGAGTCGAAGCTCTCGCAGTCGTCCGTCGGGGAGAGAATGTCCTCCGAGAGTTCTGGGGTTCCTTTCGGTCGTGAAAGAGGTCTTGGTCTGGACTCTGGAGCGATCCCTGGGGTCAGTTCAGCATTCACGAGACGGGGATCGAGGATTTTCGAGGGTTCTGGGCCTGCTTCTCTCTTCTGGGGACATGGGGACGTGATCTGATTGTCTGGAGATGTCGCTAGCCTGGGGGATTCCCTTTTGAGACCCGAGGGGGGCTTGAAGCTGTGCTGAGGCACCTTCGAGAAGTCTAGCTTCAGATTACTTCTGTTCACTCGAAGTTTTCCCTCCGACCCGGGGGGATCTTGCGGGGACGGGGGAGAAAGTGATGGGGGAGGGGAAGCTTTTGGGATGATTGGAGCTTCCAGGGTCTGAGGGGAATTCACTGAAGGGTTGGAGACGCTCTTCTGGTGGTCTTCTGACAAATGGTTCATTATTTTTGGTCCTGATGGGTTGTCCACTCGTTTTTTATTTCCTTCTGCAGTTTCGGCTTTAATCGGCTTCTTCTCAGCTACTTTCTCTGCAGAATCTTCTTGGGCGTTTGGAGATGAGACAGAGTTACATTTCTTTAGGAGTTGCCCCTTGCTGTCCTCTGCAGTCACTTCTGCTTTCTTCACAGTCTCCGGACTCTTCTCCTTCTTCAACCCAATCCTCTTCAGGGACAACGATCTCAACGGCTTGTCTTTGCTCTTCTCCTCTGCCTTTTTGTCTGAATTTTCGGATTTCTTGACTACTTTCTTGACTACTCGAACAATCCTCTTCTTCTTGGTGCCGTCTTCAGCTTCTTTCTCAACTATCTCCTTTTTGATTATCACCTTTTTGATTCTGTCGTCGTCGAGCTTCGAGACCGATCCGTTCTTGGACAGCGGCGCTGTGAGGGACTTAACCGCTTTCTTCTTCGTAACGGTTTTTCCGTCGTTGTCAGGCACTTTTACCTCCGACTTCTTGTTGTCCACTGTCTTGTCCGGGGAGATCTTCTTGGGAGGGGACAAACGAATGATTGACGAGCTCTTGTTGTCGGTTTTCTCACAGGACTTTCGGGATTCTGTGAGAGACTTGTCGGATCTACAGTCGATTGACTTTTCGGGGCTTAATTTCTTCGGGGATTTCGTCGAAGATTTATCGGACAGTGATTTCCTCTCGGCGCTTGATCTTTCAGGTGGAGTTTTCTCTTTCATTTTGTCCTTCACTGGGGACTTCTCCTTGGCTTTCTCCTTCGGCGGTGATTTCTTGGACTCGCTTATCTTGTCGAGCGATTTTTTTCTCTCCAGATTTGTTTTCGGGGGTTTTGGGGTGATTTTGCTCTCGTGTTTGGCTTTCGTCGGGATTTTACTACTGCCGGAAGTCTCGCCGGTTATCACACTGGTGTCTGACCTTGAACCCTTGTAAGTATTCTTTCGGAATTTACTGAGGAGAGTACTCTGCTGCTTGCTACCGTTCACCGAAGTCTTCGAATCGTTTTTGAAAAGTCCGAGGACTGAAGACACTTTGGATTTGGTCGGTACCGGCGAGCTTTGAGGCTCGTCCACAGGGAAATCCTCTGCACTAGCAATCTTCCGGAGCTCTGCAGGACTAGGGACATCCTGAAGGCCTTCAACAGGTGCCACCGATTTCTCCTTGATCTCCTTCTCAGGACTTCCGTTCGTCAGCTTCGAGTCGTCGCTCGATCTCAATCTTTCCAGCTTCCTCTCGAGGCTCTGGAGGAAGGAGTTCTTCGGGCTCTGTCTCTCGCTCTTTCCCTCAGCATTCGATCCTTCGGTTTCAATGTTGCTTTTGACGCAGGACTTCTCATCGATCTTCTCCCTGGTCAGCGTGTTCGCCGCGTTCTTCAGCTCCTTCTCCTGCTTTTCGTCCTTCAACTGCTCTCCAGGACTCTCCTCAGCCACGACTTTTCTCCTCATGAACCTCGACTTCCTCCTCTCGTTCTCCGCCGCCTTCTGCGCCTCCTTCTCCTTGACGTATTGGCTTTCCTCCCTCGGAGTATCAAAGAAGTCTGGCCTCAGGAATCTCGAGATCTTCCTCTTGGCCTTCGGCGACTTGTCTCGCCCCTCTGACTCCCTCGTGCTGCTCGAGCTCCTGAAGAACTTACTGAGGAGCGATCTCTCTGGGGTCGATGATCTCCCGCTCCCACCATCGTCGAGGGTCTCCCTCCTGTCTCTACCAGCGGAGGCTTCCCTAGTCAGCGATCCTGATCTCAGTCTCAAACTGGGAATGCAGCTCCTTCTTTTCGATAGAACCGAAGACGTCAGGTCGCTCATCGACCCCAGCAGCTCTTTGTCGCACTTGTCAGTGTCTCGGTAGCTCGACGACAGGTTGGGGTCGAATTTGCTGATCCCCAGGTTCCGCAGTTTCGATTCCTTGATCAGGTTCTCAGCTGCCAGCAGGCGATTCTCGAATTCTTTGGCGTGAGCTTTGAACGAGCTGAAGGAGTCCTCCTGAGTCTTTGAGGTTGAGTCCGTGGGGGAGGTCTCCCCAGATTTCGTGGAGAAGCTGGACATGTCTCCGAGGTTCGTAGTGGAACTGCCTTCGGAGATTGAGAATGCACCGGGGGTCACGTCCGAGGGCTCGGCCGGCTGTCTCGGGCTTGCGACGTCCGTCGGCTCCTCCTGGATCTTTTGAGGCTGGAGGGACTCCCGTCTGATCCCATTGCTCGGCGATTTTGTTTGCTCTCGGTACTTCCTACCTAGGGTCATCACTTGGCGCGGTAGTGGCGGCAGGAGCTCGTCGCTGTCCTCGAAGAGGCTCACACTTCTTCGCGCTGTTCGGCTGTCGCTCCTTTCGGGCTTGGCGGAGGACTCGAGGAGACTCGCTGCTCTTCGCAGGCTTCTGTCGCTTGATCTGCTGCGGTAGGACGGCAGGGAGAGCTCCAGGGGGTCGGCCAGGCTCAGGGGCTCCTCTGTGGAGGATCTGAGCAAACGATCCCGCGGGATTGACGGGGATCTGGGGAGCGAGAAACGCGTCTTCTCGATGAACTGACGCGACAATCTGCGCGCCAAACACGGGGTGAACTTCTTGTCCTCGTCGGGGTCCTCTTGAAGCTCTTTTATCATTTGCAGGTCCAGGTCCGCATCGTCACATTTATCTGGAAAATAAGGGAGGCAAGAACAAACATTTTTCGCAGATCTCTGCGATTCCGGGAAATTTTGATTTTTTTTTGGTTGGTTTGGTGTACAATTTTTTATTGTGAGGAAGTCGTGGATTTTTTTTTGTTTTTTTGCGGTGGATTTTTTGCGGAAAAATGTTTTTGGCGTGATTTTCAGGAGAATGTGGAGATTTTGTGATTACCCGCATGAAAAATTACTGAAGAATCGTGTGGAGGAGTTAGTGCGGGGATTCCCAGGGGTTGCTTACACTGTGAAAAAATTTGACGGGGATTCCCGGTAAGTTTCGATAACATTTTTATGAGATTGTAGTTGCAGTATTTCGCATAAAACAAAGATTTTTCGAGAGCTAAATACGTATGGGAGTTATCGAATAACGAAGGAGTAGTCCTAGAAATGACATTCCTTGCGTGTACAGAGAATGCAATTTTTTTTTTTAACTACTAAATCTATTTTTGCGACAGAAATTTTTCATTGCGGCAAAAATCCTTTTTTGTTAATTTTCAAAAAACTATTTTCTTGGCACAAGTAAGACTTGTTTGAGAACTTTGTCGTTTTTCTCTCAGTGTGGGGAATTATGGTGTGGGATCCTTCAGAAAATTTTTCATGCGTGGAATTTCTGTTAGTGTGTGTGAGACTAATTAAAGGAAAGAATTGGTTTACAGTTGAATATTCAATATTTACACTCCTTTATTGTCTAAATACAAACTGTGACTTGGCGGATACACTACCGTGTATCCCACTATTCTTCATTATTATGTTTCATAGAGTTTTCGTGTTGGAAGTGAAGCAGTTCTATTTGTCTTGTCTGCCTTTTACGATTCCAAGTGGACGAACAGATCTTGAGCTCGTTTGACAGCTTTTCGTTATAATATGCAGGTGATATTTGTATTGTTTAATGAATAATACGAACAAACCGGAACGGACATTAATTCTAATCATGAGTGAAGTGACTGATTTACTGTTCACAACCGTCGAAAAGCTGTCATCTTACTATCTCTGCTGTTTGGCACAATTTTAATTACTCTTTTTAATGACTTTGCTACACTCAACTGCAGAACTATCTGATTACTTGTTTTTCAAAGTTAAGGATATCCAAGTGTCTCTCACAGTTTCTTAGAAACCGCATCATAAATTAGAAAATTTTTAATCATCGAATTTGTCTATCAACTTTTCATAAGAATCAGGGTCACTCAATTTACATTTTGCGCAACATTACTCTGCTTTGAACTCTCTGTTGTTTTTATGAATAAATAATAAAAACTGTTTGGATTTTCAAAAAACTTGCTTTTTATGGAGTCAATAGGGAAACCTAGCGCTTACGCTAAAAAATTCCAGTGAATTTTATTGGGAATCCTATTAGCTGATTTTCCATAGAAAAAAAATCAGCAGAATTAAATTTTTCTATATGAATTATTTAATCGTATTTCTATTTAAAAAATCCTGCTGTGAAATTGCGTAATTCTCAGTGGAAATTCCCAAAACTGATGAACTTGCTAGAATTCTAACACAATTTTGATGAAAGAAATGTGTTTTCTACTAAATTCTTCAAACGTCATTAAGTTCGAATTAAATTTTAAATATGAACAAATTTAATACGATCTTCAAAAAATGATTTTTAATATTGAAAATGGACTGTTCATAAATCCAGGAGAAGGGTCTTAATTTTCCCGAAGAAACAGAGTTTTTTATTTCTTTCAGATGCTTCCTCGGATGAAATTTATTTAAAAAATTTGTTTAAAAAATCGTGATAGGAAATTATGTATTTCTGAACAGAAATCCCGAAGCTAATGAGCTCACTAGAATTCTGGCAGAATTTCAGAGTTAAAAAATTATTTTTAACTCTGAAAATTCATTATTTACAAAAACAGGAAAAATTCGTAATTTTCCTCAAGAAACAATTTTCAATTTCTTCCAGATCTATATTATCCCCTGGGCTATTCTACTCGGTCAACCTTAGATGTTTTTAAGGCATAAATTACATGGAAATTGGGATCCTATATGCTATCCATCGACTTTCCGGACCTCTATATGAGGGAAATAATTGAATAATTATCAATGCACAAATTAACAAATTCGGAGGCACACGGGCTCGAACACAAGTGGGGTTATGATCCCACATCTTCTGTTTGCCGGACAGGTGCTCTGCCAATTCCGCTATTGTGGCCTCCTCCACAATAGCTCAATGCAAGGTTGATAGTAAGGTTGACCGAGTAGAATAGCCCAGGGGATAATATAGATGTTGAATATACCGGTCGTAAAATGTCTTTGATTGTAAAATTTCTTCGAGATTCTTAAAACGCCCCCAACCAATTAAAAATGAAAATAAAATATCAACCCGTCAAATTTCTAATAATAAAATCACAGCAAAATGTTCGAAAAGCCATAATCAAATAATATTAAGATTTCAGCAAAACAAAATAGCAAAAATACTTGGATATCCCTAAATTCCTCCCCAAAATAACTACTCGATATAAAATTCCAACAGAGATGCACTAATCGTGTAGGTAAAGTGGTCTCTCAACCCATCGTCATCCTCACATTATCACATTCTAATCCAGGGCAGCAACAAGCAAAGCATTCCGTGAACAATGAAAGGAACAAAAAGGAAAAAACCGTACTATCTCAATATTAAAACTGTTATTTAAACTCTCAATCAAACAGATAAACTTCAGCCATTCTGGACGCTGGTTAGTCTTTGAGTTCTAACATTACTTCATTAATAATAAATCATAAATTCGTCATAACATTTTTCATCCATTTATCGCAGTGGCGATAATATAAAATTCTCGGTTATCCATTATCAATTTTAAGGATTATATTACACTCACTAGCGCCGTCATATAAAAATTATCATGTAACAATGTTAGTTCCAACGATAAAAATCAAAAGGACAACAACTCTTCGAACACTCAGTATGATTTATTCCCATGTCTCCTTCGTCACCTCATCTGACTAATCTATTTTCACTCAATAAAATAATAAATGTCTGAGAAGAGCATGACTTAACGTTTTCCAAAATAAAATTACGGCATTTGGAAATGGTTTCGCATAAAATTTCGTCAAAAATGTTTAATTTTGAACAATTGTTTACATTGTTCAACTGTTTGAGATTATCTGAGAAAAATCATACTCTGACGTTCAAAGAACTTCCAACAGTGATACCTACTAGCCCATACACTTAACATCGAGCATATTGACTTTTTTTATTGAATATTTAAAATTACATCCGATTGAGAATCCTCAGACGTCCTGCATGTGACAATCTTCAACATTTTTATTTTCAACTTTACAATAACAATAATCAATCTCGCATCAACGAGAATGTATCATATTTTGAATATTAAAAACAGGTGTATTATCTCACATTCTCTGGTTCATTGAATTTTCTCTTGTTGAATTTGTTTTTCATTCTCTACAATTGAGGAATATGTCAATGAGGAAAAAAAAATTGGTGACTGCATGATCTGATTCCTTGCTAGATTAGGTAAGTGGTGGTGGTACCTAACTTGATATTTTCCTATCTAGTCTGTTTTTTTTTCTACTGGGGATTACCGTCCACCCGCCTACGGAGAGTCACTCGCACGGTCGCTGCAACAACCGTCAATAAAAGACCGTGAGTCAGGTGAACTGATTTGAATTTACTGGTGATAATTATTAGAGAGTATTTTCGGTATTTGGCGGGTTAAAAAATTTACTGAATTTCATTTTTGGCTGGGAAGATTTATTTTTTCGGTGGATAGTTAATGTGACGACATTTTCTGGTTGCTTTTATGTTATGTTTCATTACAAAATCGTTGGTCAGTGATTTAATTCAGTAGCGAAGTGGTAAAACGGTTTCAGTCGACTTATCTCTCAGTTGAGTGTGTGAGGAAAATATAAAATATTTCCGAATCTAAGGGCGATAGCGAAATTTTCGTAATCACATTTGTTGTAGCTCTCAATTGGCTCTACGAAAAAGGTTATAACAAAAATTTTGCTATCTCCCTTAGATTCCGAGATATTCATTGAAAATTGGCCAAGAATCAAAATTGACTTGAACCGGTTTACCACTTCGCTACTGAATTTATCATTGAATTGATAATCAAAACATAAAAGAATGAATTAATATTCATTTTTCATAATTGCCAGTTTTGCAATTGAAGATAATGAAAAATTCTCAGTGAAATGTGACATTTTTATTGAATGTAAATTCATCTGAATAATGATTACTTCAAGGAAAAAATGACGAGAGAGACGTGAAGAAGACTTCTTCATATTTTCTCCTGAAGTGAATTATTATTGCACTGATAATCTCATTTATTAATAAAATTCTCTATTATTTCACAGACCGAAAACATCAATTACTTGAAGGGATTGTAAACGGCATTTGATTTTTATATTTTGACAAATCAAAAATATATTTTTTTTGTTATACAAATTGAGAAATCTTGAGAATTTAATCAAATCAATTCATGATAAATAATAAATTAGTCTTTTTCAGTTCAGCAATTGAACATAATGGAAAAATTATCTGTGAAATATAACATTTCTGTTGAATATAATCTTCGTCTCAATAATGATTACTTCTAGGAGAAAATTATGAGAGACTTTTTGTCCTGAACTTGACATTTTCTCCTGAAATGAATTATTATTGCACCGACCGAAAACATTAACTACTTGAAGGCATCGTAAACTAAATTTGATTTTTATATTTTCTCTAATTAGAAATATATATATATTTTTTTATACAAATTGAGAAATCTTGAGAATTTCGTCAAATCAATTGATGATGAATAATAAATTATTCGTTTTCAGTTCAGCAATTGAACATAATGGAAGAATTATCAGTGAAATATAACATTTCTGTTAAATATAATCTTCATCCCAATAATGATTACTTCTAGGAGAAAATTATGAGAGACCTTTTGTCCTGAACTTGACATTTTCCCCTGAAATTAATTACTATTGCACTGCCTCATGATATGTTACGTACAGTTCCGCTGATAATCTCATTTTTTAATAAAATTCTCTATTCCTTCACAGACCGAAAACATCAATTACTTGAAGGGATTGTAAACTGCATTTGATTTTTATATTTTGACAAATCAAAAATATATTTTTTTTGTTACACAAATTGAGAAATCTTGAGAATTTAATCAAATCAATTCATGATGAATAAAAAATTACCGTTTATGCAATTTATTTAGTTCCAATGAGATATCTCTTACCGAAAATACAGTCTGTCAACTATCAGTCAGTGATCGTCAATGAAATCGTTGAAATGAATATTCGAAAAATAATTTCTCCAACTGATTGAAGAGTCGACGATAGACTTTTAAACAGCTCGAAGGGACTTTGAATAAAAAAAAATGATACTACTTGAATGAATGAAGGTGGTTTCATATGACTTTAAATAAATATCATCAGAACGATTACTATTCCAATGGACACAGAGTAATGTCTTCATGAATTTGTTGTATATGGACGTGTTTGTAAAAGAAAACTCCATGCTCTAATAACTCTGGTAGATGCTAGGTCATTTTCTTCCGGGACATTTGCTATTACGCTGTTACAATGAATGAAGGTAATTAAGTAAAATGATGTGAACAGAATTCGTACATAAGCAACGCAGCAGTGAAAATAAATCTAACGGGTTTAGATAAGATTGTAAGCTATTAATTCAATTGTCATTTCCTATTTGTTCAATTTCAACTCTCTTGCAGGACTTGCAGGTACATATTTTTTCTAATATTCAGTACTTTATTTGAATGAAGTTGCCATGGGGTTTAATTTACGTGCATTCATGCTCTGGACGTGACAACAACTACAACTTATTGAGAGTGGAGAGAGATGTGGATAAAGGGAGATTGAGAAGATTCACTTCATTCAGTTCAAGGAATTTTTAAAAAATTCCTCTTTGGATTTTTTGAGGCACGTCGATTTCAACAATTTTGAAGTTATTATGAACATTTGAAAGACCTCGTGAAATTGCTAAAATACATCGAGATTTTATAGGATTTAGAAGCCTTGTGAGGATTTTTTTGAGATTTGGAGCTATTGTACTAGGATTGTACAGAGAATGTCAAGATTTCCAAATTTCAAAAATCCTGAAATTGTTTTGGAACTTTGAAACACCTCGGGAGGCTGCTAATTAATAATTTGCTGTAACTAATGGCTGTTAGGTCTTAATTTGTCACAGTATCCAATGATTGATAGATCATTAATTACCATGATACATTATCCATTTCCAATTTTCTCTCTAGAAGACCTATTTACCAATCTTTATTAAGAACACTTTTTGAAAATTTTCACTTTTTTCTTCTTTTTTTATTCTCCAATCATAATTTTTAGGGACTACTGCGTGATGTCAAATGCAATGGAAATTGTGATACATTCTAGATTATGAAGATGGAAAAAAAATCGTGAGAACATTCGAAAGATAATCCATTTGGGCCTCAATTCGAAATAAAATTTTGAAAAATTCAACGAATTCATAATTTTTTTTGGAAAACTTCGTAGATTTTCATCAAATTTGACGTTTCAAAATTTCAGTTTGATCTCCATAAACATTTTACACTCTTCTTCAAATTCGAAGATAGTTATCAGAGAATCAACTCCTTCTTAAAGACTCATCCGACTCGGCCTCCACTACAAATCGTTCTTGTTATCATTACGTAAAAAAAATAATAGAAAAACCTAGTGAATTCACTAGACAATTCTATTAGATTTCTACTGAACTTTCAATACAAAATATTCTATCGAAAAAGTCAATAGAATTCGATTTTTCTATAGAATTTCTTTGGCTCAAGTTTTTTAGTTTTTTAAATTCTATTTTTCTTTTCTTTTCATCAAGAAAATCAAACAAAAAGCAGAAAATTTGAGCCGAGGAAATTTCATATAAAATATTTCAATAGAATACAGTGTACAGAAAAATCTAATTCGATTGACTTCTTCTGCAGAATATTTTCTATTCAACATGTCAATAGAATCTGCCAAAAATTAACAGAAAATTCAACAAAAATCGAATGCAACTGTCTAGCGAATTCGCTAGGTTTTTCAATTAAATTTCTCAACACATGATTAATTAATAAATATTCTGCTCACAACCAAAAACTCAACGAATAAATCTTCCCAATTCGCCCAAGGAACTTGACTAACTCCAACAACTAATTCAACATCATCTCATCCCTTGGATTTTTCATTCTGTAATCACCTACTTGTTAGTACGAAATGTGCAAAAACATCTACAGGCAAAAAGTAAATGATGTAATTATTGGGTATCAAAGACAATTTAAAGATGTATGACAGAGGTGAATAAACCACAAAAAAAAAATTAACAGAAAAAAGATGTGCTTTGTCTATCAACGACTCGACAACAGCTAATAGGTACTAGGCATACAAAATTTCATATATCCAAACGTTTCGTCACCTATTCGTCAGTCATGTTCATCGAGTGGATGATGAAACGTTTGATTTTATTTCAATAGAGATGTCTCACGACTCTACAGAAGCTTTGCAGTTTTACTGTTCGTAAGTACTAGTTGATAAAAACAGAGGGAAAATTTTTATTGTCATAGAGAAGTTGCGGAAGCGAAACTACTGGCTAATCACATGATCTTCAAGCTTCTGAGAAGGCGTGCCACAACATGATACAACATCAATTATGTGTGTCTCTTTGATTCAGTGGTATTTATCGGTTTATTTATTCTGATTTTGCGGTGGATCGATTTCGATTGAGTATGCAGTTTATCGAGTGATTCGAAATGAATGAATAAAATTGATAGAAAATTTTATCGAAATCATTTTGATGAAGAAATCTATTGACAGCAGAAAACGAATAGAATTTCTTCTAGTGGATTTTTAAATTTGAAGTATGTGAAAAAAATGTTTGAATTTTCTCCGATGATAAAATGTCAACATTAAGGATATCCAAGTTTATTTTACAGTTTGGTACAGACCGCACTGTAGATTCTACCATTTTCAATCATTAAATTTGTCAATTAAATTCCGTGAGAAAAATTTCAGCGTCATTAAAATAACATTTCGGACAGAATTATTATTTTTTTACACATTTATTGCTTATAACTACACAATTGAAATTGTATAAACTTATTTCTTTAGGCATGAAATCAAGTTCTAGTAAAATTCTGAATATGAATAAATTTGACAAAATTCCGAGCAATGATTTTTATGGTGGATAATTGATTGTTTATAATTTATTTTTAGAAAATGCTCATAATTTTGAAAAATGCAATTTTTTATTATTTCATCAATCTTTCCCGCAAAAGTAAACTTTCTAATTTTTTTCAGATTTTTAGACCTGCATAGTTTAAGTAATAAATAATAAAATCACAGTCAATGTATTTTATTATATTACACTGGCCCACATGGCATTCAAATCCTTTATTTTTCATAACTTTCAATTTTGTATTTTCTATTTTTGTATGGGGTTGGGGAAGGAAACAAAATGTAAAAACCCGAGAGGGTAAACATGTAAAAATAATAATAATAATAATAAGAATAAATAAATAATAATAATAAAATAATAGTAAAATGTCCGAAAACTTAGGGTCAAGTGAGGCTGAAATGAAAGCTCTGATGTTCGAATACAAAAATAGAAAAGCATTTCGCTGGAGAAAAAATAGCCAAAGTACTTGGATATCCTTAAACTGCATCACAAACTCTTCAATTCAAAAATCTGTTCCACCGTAAATAGTAGATGAATTAAAGTGTCGCACGCTCTTACCTCTGGGTAGGGTGTTGGAGGATCCAGCGTCGAACATACTTTCACGAGAAGGCGTACTCCTGCCTAGGCTGTTGGGGGTTCCTGGGTTCGACGACATTGCTGAATCCTTTCTACCAAATCTGTCAGTGTCGCGACTCATTGAACGTCTGAATGGTGTTTCTGTCATCCGCCTGTAAGGTAATTCAAACAGATTACTTTTTCTCTTCTTTTATTGACGAGTTCTAGGGATAAACCTCAGTGAGGTTGTTTCACTTCAAGACCAGTTTCTCTCATATCTCGGGATTTAGGAGAGATTGCCAAATTATTTGAAGATGATTAATTAAAAAAGTCAGTGTTTTATGCGAGAAACTCTATTAAATTTTTATTGAAATTATATAAGGATTCTAGTGGAATTCTATTCAAATTCTATTTAAAAATGTACATTTTTCTGTGTAACTCAGTTTTTTCTCTTGGGTTATCATTACGAAATGAGAAATGAATAAAAATCCAGTGAAAAAAATGTGGAAAACTTATATTCAAGAATTTCTTCCCATTTCTTTATAGAAAAATAAAAATCTTTGGGCTTTGTTCAATCAATTATCTCTTTCAAACATAACAAAGTACAGTTGTGTAATCTTCAACAGAATTGACCCAAAAAAACAATGAAATCATTCAATAAAATTTCAACAAAACTCAAGAGAATTCTTATAAAAATGCAATCGAAATTCCTAGAAAAAACGCAGGGTGTTTTATTAAATTTTTACATACCCATTTACAAACTAATTCAAAAGTAATTTACACAATATAAAGATTTCCTTCAAGTTCTCTCAAAACACCCAGAAAATAACATCAAAAGGAGAAAGTAAACATCAAGTGTGTCATGACTTAATTGACTCCAAAAATAGTGAAAATACTCTACTCGACTGTGATTGATAAGCTCGTGCATTGATAAGCGTGCTCGAGTGGAAGCAGTTGACTCCAACAGAATATTCTGTGAACCTCAAGCATCTCAGTCTCACTTTATTTTTATGCTCCAACTGATTCAATACTTTCATGTGCTCAACAGCGATGAAACAGTGGTTTGGAGATTCAAACACCAGTGCAGTAATCTCTGATACTACGAGATACATTAATAGATTATCTGAATTACCGTGAGCCATGAAGACGTGAATAAAGATGAAAATTAAAGTGACACTAGCCGAAAAAATAGCGAATAATGCTTCTAATTATTTTCTTGAATTTGATTTCTTCACTGATTGACTCACGTTGTGATTATCTCCGTTTCACTGAAGCACTCGTAGCTTGCACGAATGAAGGAATATGTTAGAATTCATTGATGAATTGTGGATGATTTGCTAAATAATTTTATACCTCCAGCAAAATTTTTATTCTATAAAGAAAAACATTTTAATACCTTGAAAGTGGTTCGTGAAGTCCCCAGAATCCTTGAGAGGAGTTCGACCCCAATCTGTCCAGCAATCTACTCCTGGGGAAGCCTGTGCCCCTGTTATCATCGACATTCAGACGTTGAGTCAAACTTCTCACCCGTGACAATAGGGTTGAGAATAAATTCTCAGCTGTCAGTAACTCAAAACCATCGTCATCGTCGTCTTCCCCGGAGGAGAGACTGTCTGCGTGCTCTGGGGCTTGCTTCGAGGGTCGAGAACTCCTGAGGCGATGCATGTGCCTCTGCAGGAGGTCATCGCTATCTCTGGAATAACGATAACACAATTTTTTGGGGATTAATATTCGTCGTGCAATAAAATAACTTGGATATTGTTCAAATGATAATTGTTCTTAGGAGGGAATATAGTTTTGGAATTGAACAAATATGTGAAAATTTTGTGATGTTCATCTAGAACTTTAACGCAATTTGAATGGCCAAGACGGAGGAAAAATTAAAGTGGAATGAAAAGAAGTGAGGGAAATGATTCGTTTATTTTCATTGATAGAAAATGATCATTTTTGCGGTAAATTTACAATTACTAAAAATCAGATTCGATTCCATTGACATGTGCTATTTAATATTTAATTGTCTTGGTGATGAGAACATTCTAAGAAATTGTAGTGGCTTTGTAAGAGAATTTGATCAGGATTTTTTTTTAAATTTTTCTTGATAAGAATTTTCTAGGGCAACAGAATTTTCTAACGAATTTGATAGGTGTTTCTATTAAATTTTTTCGTGCGTGATGAAATGCCAATTTACCTGTGAAGAGTTGAGAAAGGCGACTCATCTTCGCTAGCATCAGAGAGCAGCGAGCCCATCCTCCTAGGTCTCCCGAACTTGGATCTGGGTGCATTAACACTGGTGGGAGTGCTGTTCTTGCTCTCTGGTTCCAAGCTCCCTGACCTGGGTGTGACATAGCCGCCCCCTTCGACAGCAATGGGAATGATGTACTCCCTGGGGCTCTTCCTGATGGGTTCAGGGCCCACAGTCGAGCCAAGAGCACTGTCGGTGTCAGAGTCAGCAGTCGACTGCCTGGAGAGGGACCCTGACTTCTGGGATAACGACCTCTGGGGCATCGGGGGCTTAGAGTGAGGTGGGGGGCTCTGGTGTCCACCTTCCACAGAGATGGGGATGATTCTCTCCTTCATACTCGATTTCCCTCGGTTCTCAGGCTCCAGACTGGCCGATCTGCTGGCCTGGGGAACAACACCAGCCACTGGGAAAGCAACTTCTGACCTCTGGGTCCTCAATTTCTGGGGGTGGAAGGCGTCAATCTTCGCCTCCACTTCAGACTTGAAGGGGGGCTTGAAACCGGACAAGACAATCTCTGCTTTACTCGTTTTCCTCTGTCTCGGGAGTGTCGCGCTCTTCAGGGTTATCTCCATCTTGCTGGACATGGTTGGCTCCTCTGACAGGGATGTATCCAGGCTCTTGGACCCTGGGGATGCGGGAAACGAGTGGTCGATCACTGGTTTGCCAGATGTTACCTCGAACTCGGGGTACTTCTCGTCTACTGGAGTTGTTATTGAGATTGTGGCGTTCCTCACGTCGTTCGGACCCACTTGGATCTTCAATCCAAGTTTTTTCGGGTCTGGGATCTGTGGGGTTAGCGGGGGCGAACCGTTCAGGGTCTTCTTTATTGGGGGCTTGCCCAGAGCACCTGAAATCAACGAGTTCAGGGTGAGATGGTTGAGAGGGGTTCGAGAGGATTATTGAGGAAATGAGAGGGAATTTCATTCTTTATTGAATTTTTTTTTATTGAATCAGTGAGGGATTTCATCAGTCAAACTAAATTTTTAATCTGATTTTTTTTGCATGAAATCGGTTTTTGGTGGATTTTAATTGTGGGCAAAATTTGAAATTATGAATTTTTATGGCAATTTTTTATTGAATTTACTTTAAAGTATTTGCAAAATATCTGAGAATGCAGAGGGAGTGGAAACATTTTTCGGAGGATCTTCTTTCACAAAAATGGTATCAAATTTTTCAATTAAATTACGTAAAATTGATTTAAAAGATTTTAAATTTAACATTTTAGAAATCTGAAAAAAAAATTATAAAGTTTGTTTTTAATTACGAGCATTTTTTATAAATAATTTATAAACAATCAATTTTCCACCATTAAAATCATTTGTACGGAATCGTAGCAAATTTATTCATATTCAGAATTTTACCAGAAATCGATTCCACAACTAAAAAAAACGGTTTCCAAAAGTTTGAAAAATTTCTAGTATTTATTCATAAGCAACGAACGTTAAAAAAAATAATTCTGCAAAACGTAACTTGAATGGCGCTGAATATTCACGATTTTGTTCTACTTTTTCTCCCTCAATTTAATTAACAAATGAATTGATGAAAATTTTCACCGAGAACTCCAGAAATTGTTGAATCTATATTGTGGTCTGTACCAAACCGCAAAAAATCCTTGGATATCCTTAATCTCTAATCCCCAAACCCCAATTCTCACCTGAGATTATATCCACTGCCCTCTTCTTCTCTTCCTCCCGTTTGCGATCCTCCTCCGCGTGATCGCCTCCCTTAGCAGGCCCCTCACTGCCCCCAGTTTTCTCCTCCACCTTCTCCTGTTTCTTCTCCCCAGCCACATCAATGACCACCTTGACATTCTGCTTCCCAGCAGCAGGTGGAGCGATCGACGACAGACTAGCCTTCCTCTCGAACGCCCTCTTCGCCCCCCCAACATTGACCCCAGGTATGAAGATCTTCTTGGCCTTATCCGGCTCCATCGAGGCACTACTCGCCAATTGATTGAACTTCTCAGCAGTCTCAAAGATCTTGGACCTCCTCCTCTCGGTAGGTTTAGCAGGCCCAACAGCAGCATCTTCATCCACAGACGCCTTCTTCTTCAAAGTCTTCTCCTCATTCTGCACCTTATCCCCTAAATTATGATGAAGAACTTCAGCACCAGCCTCTGACTCTCTAGCCCCAGCATTCTGATTCTGTTCACGTGTCTCCCCCTCCTTCTCTTCAACGTGTTCAGGTTTAACCGAAGCCTTAGGACTCTTCTCCGCCACGAACTTCTCCTCTAGACTATTAACTACCGGCTTACCACCCCCACCAGTCTCACTCCCCCCAACAAGCGGAGTTTTGCTCCTCTCTTTAGTCCCCTGCGCCTCCTTCAGCATCTCCAACAGGGCATCAGCCGACTCCGGATCCCTCAGATCCACCTCCATAGGTTCCTCAGTGATCGCGGCCCCAATCGGCGCCGAGTGATGCCTGGAAGACGATCTGTAAGCCCTAGTTTCCCTCTCCTCTCCATCCTTCTCCTTCCTCCTGGACCTCTCCTTCTTCTTAGTCCCAGCAGCGACAGTCTCCTCCATCGAGGGAGTCAACTCCAGCTTTCTTTTCGTCTCACCCGAAGCCGAAGTCCTCTCCTCTTCCATTCCCTCGACAATATCCCTGAGCTTGTCATCAGTCGATCTGTCCAACTCCATCAGACTCCCAACGGAGTGACACCTCGTTGGGCCTAGAGTCTCCGACGACATGCTAGAGACAGGTGGTTCAGGTCTGGGATCTCCCACGACTAGTTTGTCAGCACTCGCCGATTGCGGCACCAAAGACAACAGCAGATCAAGTCTAACTGGTGTCTGAGCTGCCAGATCTTCAGCGATGTCAAGGCAGTTCTGATCGTATCCCTCGTTGACCCACCAGTGGCAGCATATCCTCTCAATGTCAGCTCGTCTCGAAGGGCACTTGGTCAACATGTCTTTGATGAGGGGAGAAGCCGGCGAAGGGCACTTTGGCTCGAAGTAATCAGACGCCGATATCTGTCTGGTGAGTCTTTTGAAGTTGGAGCCGTCGAAGGGCATGGCACCGTAGACAAGTGTATACAAAAGGACACCAAGACTCCAGCAGTCAACCTCAGGACCGTGGTAAGGGGTTCCTTTAACGATCTCTGGGCTTGCGTACAAGGGGCTGCCGCAGAAGGTGTTCAACAGTCTGTGATCGTCGAAGACATTCGACAAACCAAAGTCAGCGATCTTCGCGTTGCCAGACTGGTCGAGAAGAATGTTCTCCAGCTTGAGATCTCTGTGACAGATCTTGTGCTTGTGACAGTAGAAGACAGCTATGGAGATCTGTCGGAATATTCGACGGGCCTCATCCTCTGCCAGGACTTTCCTCTCGCTCAGGTAGTCGTAGAGCTCCCCCCCTGCTGCGTACTCCATGACTAGGACCATCTTCTCGCGGTTCTCGAACACCTCGTAGATGTGAATTATGTTCGGGTGTTGGACGCTTGACATTATCTGGATCTCGCGACGTATTCGGATGAGATCCGCCTCGGTTTCTATTTTGCATTTCTTTATGGTTTTTATCGCTACCTCTTGACCGGTTTCTTTGTTTATTCCTAGTTGGACTTTGCCGTAGGTACCCTGACCCAGTTTTTTTATTATATCGAACCTGGGGGAGAGAAAGAGAGAGAGAGAGTTGATATTGGGGGGCTCGCGCGGGGGTGATTGCATTGGTCCGGGGTAGGATTTGGTCTCAGGGGAGGTGGTGGTTAGTTTGGGGGTGTTTCTTTACCTTTGTTTCAACTTTCTTTTGTGGTTGTGGAGGCGCACACCACCGGTGCTCTCCATCCCTCCCATTATGTTGTGTATGCTCGCTTCTCCGACCACCATTTTGAGGAATTTGTAGGAGCTGCAACAGGATCATATTCCAATCTTAGTGACGAGGATGAGAAAACACGTACGAAAGTACGAGACGTACGAGAGTATATTTCATCGCGCGAGGTGTAAAGTGACGTTTTGCGCACGCGGACTGTGCGTAAATCACGCATTGTGATGAAATTAGTGTATTTCAGAACTCGTGCGTAAAGGAAAATTTTACGCACGCTCCGCGCGCACACATTGTGAGGGAAAATAGGGTTTGACACTCGTGGGAAAAGGGTTCTTCGACTTTTGGGCACTCGCGTCCGGCGAGCAACACACCTCCCACGGGTCAAAAATACTACATTACGCATGCCCAAGCCTTGGAAAACAGATCACCGTCCCCCACGTGCAAGATTGCCTTCCGAGCCGAAGGCGAGGATGGCAGCACGTGGGGGAGGGCGATATGTTTTCCATGGCGAGGTGTGTATATTAATTTTCATCACGCTGTGACGAAAAGTGAACTTTTCGGCACGCTCCGCGTGCCTAAAAGTCCAATTTCCGCCACATTGTGATGAAAAATATTGTTCGTAACTCGTGAAAAAATGTTTTTTGCACTCGTTACGAAATATACTATTTCGTGTCGAGGGACTTGCAAAACGCCAATTTTTTTCCACAAGAACGATCGTGCGCTTGAGCGCGCGTGTTAAAGACAAATCGTGACACGAAAACCGAAAGCTGACCGAAGTCGAACACGTGCGGGCGGATCCAAATGTTCGGCCACTGAAATTCGAGGGATGAGCGTTACGCTACAGCTTACGGCGTATGTTCTTTTTAGAATAGGATACCTGCCTAAAAAGTGCACTTTTCGAAACGGTTTAGCATGCGATTGAAGAACGAAAACGGTTGTTTTCTGCAGGGCGTGCGGAAAGTTCACAGGCGTGCGTAAAGTGAATTCTCGTGAATTCCCTTTATAGTTTACTACCGTTCTGAACAATGAACTCGGCAGGTATCACAAAAAATAGGATTTGAAAAATAGAAACTTTACGCATTAATAACACAATATACTACAAAAAAACTCATACAATTTATTATAAGAAAAAGGTCGGCGATTTACAAAATTTTACACACGTCGCACTTTACGCAACCCGTGCCGAAAACAATCGCTTTACGCATACTAAACCGTTCCGAAAAGTGCACTTTTCTGGCAGGTATCACAGAAAAGTGTTTTTTACGCAAAGCGTGCGCAAAATTTCACTTTACGCACAAGTGATGAAAATTGTTATAACGACGTTCTGTAGATCGCAGTTTACATTTGAAAAAAGATCTTCATAAGATCGCGTCATGGTAGAGAACATCTCAGATCCTGAGATATTCTCGAGAAACTCAACAAACAAAACTTCCACCACCCATTAACGACTGGTTTCAAAATCCATATCCGCCAAATTTTATCACTCGTCTTGCCCAACATATTTAGCTTAACTACTCTGTAAATTTCGAATACAAATCCTTCGAAAATAAATACGAGAATTAATAATGGAAAATCACAAATGTCAAACGCCTTCCTCGACCCCCAGCTAATTTATTTTTTCCTAATTCTTCCAATTGTTTTTTTCAATCTTTCATCAGTAAAACCTACGAGCCAAGCGTCTCGCCGATCTGATCGGGACCTAGATGAAAAGACAGAACGAGAATGTAGTGGAAGGTTTATTTTCGGTGCACAGAAGACGCCGTGTGTCGCCCTGTCGTTTCTTCTTGGCTTTTACTCACTTCACTAGCAAAAAAAAAGAACCGACAAGTTTAAAACACACATGTGTGGAGGTCTTGTTTCGAAAACCGGCACCAGGCAAAATTCGCAATACAAATACTAACACATTTGAAATCTGGTACTCAACGAGATACGTTTTTCGTTCAACATTTTGATGGAGTGACGCCAGAATTTCAAGTCACTTGTTCAAGGCCTTTGAACAATGTTTGTGAGGTAATGAAGAGTCGACAAAATTATCGAATTTGGCAAATTATTCCATATTTCCTGAATGGATTTTTACTCCAAATATATTCACTGTTTAAGTTCACAGAATCAGAGATGCACGGGAAAATTTAATTGAAAAACCTAGCGAATTCGATAGAAAATTCTATTGAATTTCTGTTGAACTTCTTTTGAATATTTTATCAATTTTTGGCCGATTCTATTGAAGAATTCCGCAGCTTTTTTTTTTTATACGAAATGTCCAATAGGAATTATTTTGAAGAAAAAATCAATAGAATTTCATCTTTCACTACAAATTCTTCGATTGAGGCATTTTCTATAAGAATTCCTCGATATGAATTTTTGTGGTTTTTGTCGTTCTATTTTTTTTCTCTATTTATTAAAAGAATAAAATAAAAAAACTCTGAAAATTTGAACTGAGGAATTTCTACAAAAAATATTCCAGTAGAATAATATAATACTGGTATAGAAAAATCGAATTGTATTGATTTTTCCCACAGAATATTTTCAACCAGACATTTCTATTAAAAAAACTTCCAAAATGAGCCGTGAAATTTCAAAATAGAATCGGCTAAAAATAAATAGAAAGTGCAATAGAAATTTTTCCATGAAATTTTCTCGTACGCGTCGATAAAGATTGAGTTGAACAAAATTCTCAAAAAATCTCAATTAATAATAATAATGATTTAAATTTGGTATAAATAGAGAAATAATGAATAGTATAAATAACGTAACAGTAAATAATGAATTGTACAATTAGTAGTATAAATCTGTGGTGAATTGGGAAACCAGAATAAGTGCATTTTTTCAAAATTCATTGTTTTGGTTAAATCGCTAAAATTCGCGGATGCGATTTTCAAAAAAAAAATTTTTGAAAAAACGCACTTGGACCTAGTTTACCAATTCCCGACAGAAATATTATAAATAATTCAGTAGCGAAGTGGTAAAACGGTAGAAGTCAATTTTGACTATTGACCCGTTTTCAATTAATATCTCGGAATCTACGGGAGATAGCAAAATTGTTGTTATAACCTTTTTTGTAGCGCCGATTGAGAGCTACAACAAATGTAATAATGAAAATTTCGCTATCTCTCTTAGATTCCAAACTATTCCTCAAAAACTCCACTGGGGGATGAGTCGACTTCACTAAGAAAAAAAATTACTTTTGCCAAGGAAATTTACTAATTACGAGAAAATCCACACATTTCAAATGCAAACATTTATGTACATTTACTTGTAGCGAGTAAGTTTACTTGGCAAAAGTAATTTTTTTTTCTCAGTGTTGAACCGTTTTACCTCTTCGCTACTGAATTTCAAGAGTTGGAGAATCAGAAGATTGGATTTGTCCTTAAATGTCCCGGTTTAAGGTGAAAGTGACACAAATGGTGTGAAGCGAAGCGAGATGTTCTGAAAAAAAAACCCATATGTGCATCTGTGTGTTTTACTGTCTGACCATATGCCCAGAACCGCATCGTGTCAGATTTTTTTCTTCAAAATCACATGAATCATTCTAACTCGAAGACTAATTATAGGAATTCCTGGAATTTCGTGAGGAGTCCTAAATTGCCATAAATCTTGAGTGTTAAAATAGAGAGGAAAATCAACTGAATCTCTCTTAGACATGAGAAATACAAGGAAACGTAATTTACTGCGATCATTGCGACGTAATCAATTACGCATAATTTTCTGAATATGGTACACAATTGTAAGGCACTCCAGACGTAAATCGAATGGCCGAGTAATATCACTAGCGAACCGGCAAAACGATTTAAGGTATTTATGGCGGGCTGGCCATGTAGGAGGTGAGACGTAGGGGAACCTATTGTTCTCTCGCAGAAAACCAATCGCTGAACAGAAAAACGATATTTCAATTACAAATTTGTAATCTATTTCGATCATTTCTGTGTTCGAAATATTTTTTTAATAACTTTTCTATTTTTTCCCACATATTTCAAGCCTTCTTTTATTTTTCTAGCTTGTCTTTTGGATAATTGTAAAATAATTAATATGGATAGAAAAAGTGACAACGTCGTGCCGTTCGAGGTACAAGTTGGCAGCACTGATTCACTCAGCTGTTATGTTCCTTCCCACAGCGAAATGTATCATCACAACTCCATTCGTATTTGCCGCGCTTGCCCCTCCACGATTGCTAACCGCGACGTTGTCGCTATTCCAATTTGCGCACGCAGAAATCCTATTTTTCATGAGTTTCTTAATTATCCCTTCTAAACAATTCTCCTAAGCCACTTGGATTTTTTTTTTATATTCCTCCATGAAAGCTCCACCCAAGTGCGAAATTTCAGGAAAATAGCGATTTTTTTTCTATTTTTAATGTATTTTTTTCCGAATTCCCATAAGAGCCCGTGCTAAAATGCATTTTTTAGAAAAATTCCTGTGTTTCATCCATTCTCCTAGGCTATCTGAGATTTTGCATAGGGGTTTTGAAACAATCAAAGAATGCATTAAAAAAATCATCAATTTTTTGACTTTTTTCGACCTCCCCTGACCACGCCGCGAACACCTTAAGTTGACTTAGCTCTTAGTTGAGTTTTCGAGGCATATCCCCGAATCTAAAGGAGATAGCGAAATTTTCGTGATAACCTTTTTTGTAGCACTCATTTCCCTCCATAAAAAAGGTTATTACAAAAATTTCGCAATCGGCCTTAGATTCCGAGAAATTAATTGAAAACTCTCAATGGTCATAATCGACTCGAGCCGTTTTGCCATTTCGCTACTGATTTCCAAAGAATTCTATTAGATCAGTCAGCAGGAACGAGTGGAATTGATGAATGGCCCCAGCACGAGCGGATTTCTCCTCTCACTCATAGAATTCATCAAACTCTAACAAGAAAAGTTGGCAGCGGTGCTCCCATCACTCTATTCATATCACGCAACAACTTTCAATTGCTTTTCCTCATCTCATTCCGCTTGGATCAACGAATGATTACGGAAGATAATACGATAGTTAATTAAGGAAGTAGCAAGATAGTTCATTGTTCCATAGAATAGATCAAGTGAAATTAATCAGAGAGATTGATCTTTCGATGTCTGCGCGAGAGCAT